AGTTTATTTTAAAGTATCAAGGGTGACTTTCACAGTGACTTATCTCCTATGGTAACCATTAGACTGCTCTTCACATAATAGCAACAAAATTGTGTTTGGGTAAATGGCCTTGGAAGTGCAGTCGGTTCCCTAGGTGCTGCTTTGTGGAATACATGGTTTGAAAATATTGCAATAAACATATTCCCGTGCTTAGACTTGCTGCTGTGATGCATGTTCGTTTGTGGTTGGTACTGTAGCACCGCCCACCCACTGCATCTCCTTCTTGCCCCAGACCCACCATATGTCTCCCTGATGCACCATCTATCTAGGTCCCGATGTGTGGCAGTTAGGCTCTGTGCTCTGGAGATGGAGTGACAGAGATGTGGTTATTCAGATGAGTGTAGTTTAGACCCTGCCCTCAGGGAGCTCACTCGGAAGCAGTGAGACATTGTACCAGTGGAGAGGATAGTCACAAAGAGGGAGGCATAAGTGTAAAGAAAGAAGTAAGTGAGCTTTGATTCCAACTACATAAAAGCCATATGCATCGAAGGACTGGCAAGATGGCTCAGTGGTCAAGGCACTTGCAAACCTGGCCACCCGAGTTAGATCTTTGTAATTACACGTAAAGGTGGAAGGAGAGAGTCACCTCCATAGAATTGCCCTCTGTCTTCCACACATGCATCATGGCACGTACACACCATCCTCTGCCACATGCCCCAGGCACATACAATAATAAAATGTTAAAACATATGTGTCATACATCATGGACTGCTTTATAAAAACAGGATATTTGCTGAAACAAAAAAAATAGACATATTCAAATGAAAAACTGTTGATTTTTTTTTCTTTAAAGTTCTCTTTAAAACTGACCTCTGGACAGTTGTTGTCAGACAACAAATACAGTTTGAGAGGGAGAAAAAAGAAGTCCTAATTCTGGCACTCTGTCTTTCTTCTTTCCCATAACAAGCAGTCCTCAGGATATGTTCCCTGTTGCTCTCCAGTGCAGCTAGCCCCAAGCAGCGCCTGCTATTGTGGAGCCAGTACTTCATTAAAGAGTTTCCTAGTGGGACAGAACTAGTTAAGAAAGGCTTTAGCAGCAGGACATGGCAGAAGACCGAGGCCTGGAGGAAGCAAGAGACTGTGTTCAGGAACCAGACGGACTACCCACTGAGACCCTAAGCAGGTCATCATTCCCCCAAACCCCTTTCCCCAACTAAAGCTGCCCTGTAGGCTTCACATGGTGCCCTGAATACATGGGGCCACAGAACCCAACCAAATCCAGTCTCAAGTCCAGTCTGCACCCCGCCTGTGTCTCTCTACTTGATTTTAAAACTTACCTTCCGATCTGATTTCATCAATCCCAGATTATTAACTGATAATGCACAGTGAAAAGGTCAGTGCACAGCACCACTGTGCTTCATTCCAAATACTGTTCTGCCTCTGACCTTTTGGTAGAGGCAGGGAAGGGACCTTTCCTTTCCATAGAGAAGGGATCCTTCTGCCATGCCAGAGCCTCCCTTGGTGGAGTCATGGCTACATCCTGGGCATCTGTAAACATGTCACCAGCTGGGTCTTACTGTGTCTTCTGTTGGAACAGTGAATCCCTAGTAGCCCTGGCAGCTTCGTGGACAGAGGTGAAATGAAGGGTAGGTTGTTGGAGGGGTCCTCAAAGCAGAAACCCAGAGGGATACTAGAAGGATGAAGATGGGGGAGGTAGGCCACCATACCAGAGTCCACTATTTCTCAGGTCTTCTGTCCTGCAAAATCAGCTCTCCAACCCAAAGAGGCTCCAGATAACTTAGTTTACCCGTCAGACATCTCATCACACGGAGCAAGGTTTACCCTCCTTCCTTTAAATCCCACAGGTAGGTGCATGCCTGTGACTTTACACAAGATCACCTTGGGATGCAACTGTCCATGCCCCTGCCTCATTGTACATTTAGCCCTCTACGTCAGTTGGTGCTTTGGAGGAGCTGGTTCAGAAAGTCTTCAGTCTGTAGTCGAGTGGTATATGTGGAGGCTTGAAGCCAGGACCTTTTGATGTTCTTGCCGTCTACAGTGAGGCTTCATCTTTACCCATGTGTTTTTACTTTGTATATTTCCTATAGATAGAGATGTGCAGATAAAACCGAGGAATAGTTTGGTGAGTTACTAGAATACAAACATCCTGTCTCCTGAGATAGAACCTGTATGCTCAGGCATGTCCCTCCATCCCACCACCTTCTGGGTTCTTCCTTTATGAGCAGCAGCTACCCTGACTTTAGTGTGGTCACTTCCTTATTCATTTCAAATTTCCTCACCCAAGTGTGTTTCCTAGACGGTCTGTCAGTGTTGTGTGTGTGTGTGTATGCGCACATGTGTGTGTGCACATGTGAGGGCATGTATATCCGTCCATCTGCCCTAGGCATTGTGGTTTGACCTTGTCTTTTTGAAGACAGTCTCACATCTTTGAACCTATGGTTGCCTCTCTCTACCTCATTTCTTCTCCTTCCTATTCTAGAAACTGGATAGTTTGCGTTATGGTGTTCCTAGAGTTTTCCCTAGGCTGGATCCTGTGGAGACTTGGAAGGAATTGTGGCTGAGGAGATGGGGTGTTCTATAACAGAGATGCTGACTGGTTACGTCACAGGGTAGGAGTTGCCAGTGTGCTGCCATTCAGGCTGTGAGATGTTTATGTTGCAACTTTCTTGGTCCTGATTAATTTACATGTTGGGATTCTTCAACTGGAGTCTAGTGTGTGTGGTAGCTTTACTGTGATTCACATGTCACCTTCTAAGGTGTCCACTCTAGAGGCTTTCCGTATATTCTGAAATCTGCATCTGTCAACATAGTTAATTTTAGGACATTTCATTGGTAAAACACCAGCCCAGCTATTACCTCCAACTCTTAGTCCTAAGCAACCACAACCTAATTTCTGTCTCTAGGATTTGTCCACTCTAACATTTCTTATGATAGGATCATACAAGTATGGTGCTTTGTGACCAGTTCTCTTGCCTGAAGCCAAGGGTTTTCTTATTTTATCCCTATGGTAACATACATCAGTATTCCAGTCTTTTATATCGTGAAATAATAGTCCACCAAATGAGTATTCTGTATTTTGATCATCAATTGATAGTCGTTTTGGTGTTTCTTTTTTTCGGATATAATGCACTGAGCTGCTGTGAACATCCATGTACAACATTTTCATGAGCATGAGTTTTCATTCTTACATTCATTCATACATACCTCCAGCTAGACTTCCAGGCCATGTGCTAGTCTGATAGCGTGTTCTCCAGTGTGACCACAGTCTGTTATCCTATCAGCAGCATGTGAGGAGCCCAGTGTCTCCAGAACTTGTTGTTAGGTCTTTTCCATCCCAGCCATTCGATTGGGCATGAAGTGGAGTCTGGTTGTCATGGTTTACAGGTCCCTTGGCTGCTGATGCTGGTTACATTTCCAGGTGCTTACTGAATCCTTGCAGATCTTCAGAGCACTATATGCTCCTTTTGCTGGTTCTTAATTGGATACTTGTCTTTTCGTTATTGAATTGTACTAGTTCTTTCATTTATTTTGGATGAAAGTAGATCGTCAGACATGGTCGGCCCTTGACATCACCTAACTGGATCAAAACTACTGAGAAGAATTGTGTCTGAACATGTACTGAACATGTATAGACTCTTCCTTGGTCATTCCCCAAACAGCACAGGGAAGTAAGAACAACTCTTTGCATAACAGCTGTTTGGCATGAGTCCACTAGAGGATTTAAGTCACATGAGAGGATGTGCATAACTTATTTGCTATGCGTATAAGGGATTTGAGCACCTGTGCATTTTGCTCTTCTTGACTGGGGCTGGAGTGACAGCTCTATATGATTTGCAAACTCCCCCCATGCTGTGGATTGCCTTTGACGTACAGAGGTTTCATTCTTGGATATGCAGCTCACTGCTCCTTTTCCTTACTTAGCTTATGCTGTCGCCGACGTCTTTCATCGAGCACCGTCTAACCCAAGCTCACGAAGCATCGTGCCTGTGCAGTGTTGGGAGTTTTACAGTTCTCTCTTCCACTGAGACCTGCTCCATCTTGAGTTGATTGCCTGTTTGCTGCTACCTACTCTTCAGTACAGGGAAAGGTCATGTGATCAGCCGCTTTCCTGTTGATTGCCAGTGTTTATAGTAAGGAGTGGGTTCTCCAGTCACGTCTGAAGTTGCTGTTTGCTTCTTTGTCAGTGTTTTCTTTGACACTGAGTTGAAATGTCTTTGCTATGGTGTCGATTTTATCAGAGACACGTGCCTGTATTTTGCTTTAGTGAGTACTAACAAGCCTCCTAGTCAGTCAAAGGTCTGAGTTGTCTTGCAGTAGCTACCTGTCTGAGATCTCTGTTTTCTGAAAAGGAGCTGAGGAAAGCACCTGTCAGCAGCCGGTTTTACACAGCAGAAGGAGAAGCAAGAGGTGTGGCTTGCCCAAGGTTGTGCCTGATTCTAAGGAGCAGGTGTGGCCGCTACATCTGACTCTGCTGTATTCGTGCTGCCTGCAGACCACACAGAACCCTGGAATGGACCTAGATCTGGGTTTGAGGCCTAGCTAGATGGCTGTGCTCTGTGGCAGATTGTTTCTCCTGGGCTTTGATTAGTTGCACTGTAAAATCAGAAGGCTGGACAAGACAATTCACAAGAGGTGGCCTGCCTTGACAGCCAGCCCAGAGGTGGCTGTGCTGGAGCAGTGTCGCGTCACAGCACTTTACAGAGTGCCTGGCCCGGGCAGACTTACCATTGCATGAAGTCATTCATCCAGAGAACTTCCTTCTTGTAAGGAAAGAAGAGGTTTGACAGTGTTCAGCTGGACCTCTAACTTCATAAGATTACTTGGTATTTGAATGTCTTTAATTTTGAATTCTTACTTCACTTAAATAAGGCTAATTAAAAATTTACAAATTTGTATGCTGCGTGCATGCAGTTTATGGAGAGAAATGGATTTATAAGAATATTTTTGTTTCTTATCCATTTATAATGCCCTCAATTTTCATGTCCCTCTTTGTCTTCCAGAAACATGCCAAAGGCCAGGATTTGTTCGACCAGATTGTGTACCACTTGGACCTGGTGGAAACAGATTATTTTGGTCTGCAGTTCCTCGACTCCGCCCAGGTCACGGTATGTCTTGCTGTGATTCATTTCAGAAACGATTGGCTCTTCATGCTAATTATAGAGCCCTAGACATTGAGTGAGAAAAGAGGAAAATTGAGATATTGTCCCAGTAATGAGCTTGGCATGCGGTGCTGGTGTCTGAATGAAGTGCATGCAGGATGCCTGTCAGACCCTCTCCTTGAGGTAGCCACTGACCAGGAGGCTGTGTGCACAGAATACCTTCCAGGAACATGGCTGAACACAAGGGTATATGATAGGAACATTGCTAATGTAGGGGGGGAAGAAGAAACCCCTTTATAGACTTCTCTTTGTTGGTAGGTCTAGGGGGATCCATTACCTTCTTGCAGAACCGGGGTGGGAAGCAAGCAGGTGCTGTGTGCACAGCTGAAGTGGGGGAGGGCTTCAGGGGACGGTCACAGCCAACCTTGGCTCTGGAGGGTGGTAAGTCAGAACAGACTCACCTCATCTTTCTGGAGACAGATGTTAGAATGAATGACCTCCACAAAGCTCAGTGCATTTGATTCCTTTTAAATTAATTATTTATGTCACATAGGTGTTTGCCTATGTGTATGTCTGTGTACCGTGCGCATGCAGTGCCCAAGACCAGAGACGGCTTTGGATCCCCCTGGGAATGGAATTGCAACCTTGTGGTTGTTGGGAATGAAACCCAGGTTCTCTGAAAGAGCAGCCAGTGCCCTTAGCCACTGAGCCATCTATCCAGCCCTAGCTACTTCTGTTTCTGAGAACAGGAGTGACTTTCTAGTTCTTCTCTCCAACAAGCTGTACCTTTGGGTTTCAAAGATAGCGTATTTGGCACTCTAAGTGTGTTTTTTAAGTGGCTGTCACACACCAGGCTCTATTCTAAGCACTGGAGAGAAGGTGGTGAATACGGCTGATGTAACTAACATGACCGGTGGTGGGTGGTTAAGAATAATTAGGGGTACAGGAAGATCACCCAGCAGTGCAAACATGAGGACCCAAGTTCTGAGTTTAGATCTCCTCACCCATGTTAAACAGTGTGACAGCACATGTCTGTTGCCCTAGCAATGTTCCATCCCTGGGGTAAGTGGATAGAGTTGTACCCTAGAGCTTGCCAGTCATTTAGCTTTGCTAATCTCCGAGCTTCAGGCCCAGTGATGTGAACCTGTCTCAAAAGATAAGGTGTAGAGAATGGTTGAGGAGTAAACCCATCAGTGTTTACCCACCACATGCATACCTGCACGCACGTGTGTACATATGCACAGACACATAGCTACCACACAGAGGAATTAGAAGTAGTATGGGACAGGAGGGCTAGGGTGCTGGCTGAGACCATGTTTTGGATTGGAAGCTGGGTGTTCTGGGAACCTGTTTGAGCTGGAGATCTGAAGCTCTTTATACATGGGAGACACTTAGCAGATATTCCCTGGGGATAGCTGTAAGACGTAGCTGCTCAAAGCCTGTGCCTCGTAATTGGGTTTACTATCAGGGAGATGCTGAGCCCGGGGGTGATAGAATCTGACTGTTGGTGCTCCTGGCTCCATCCTCCTGAGGGGAACATCTCTTGGATGATCCCACTCCTTCCCTCTGTACCTTAGGACTTCTGTCTGCTCTAAATTCCTTACCTTGAAACAGCTCTTGCTTCCTTGACTGGTCCTGGTTCCTTCTTTGTTTCTCAGCTGAAGACTTCCTTTACCCCAAGTGCCAGGGAGGCCTCCCACCTTCTTCCTCTCTGACTCTTTAGCCCAGTCTACTTCTTTAAAGTTGAGTTCCGCCCTCTGCCCTCGTGGCTGACCTTCACATCCCTCGAGGCTGTCTCTGTGTCTGTTTTTTTTTTTTTTCTTCACCTGGATGAACTCATGTTGCTGGGCTTGACCATATCCTGGACACTGTGTCCTCTCGTTTAAGCTTCATTTCAGCAAATCTCACAGACTCCCTTACTCCCATATTTCTGACCCATCTCTCATACCCCAGTCTCCTCTTTTTCTTGCCTTCTTTCCTGCCTTAGAGGAACCATGCTTTGGTCCTCACTCAGCCTTTGGTTCTCCTGTCACCACAACTGTTCTCTGGCCTCCCCTTGGCAACCAGGCTCATCTGTTTGCTCTGTGGCTTTTCCTGGCCTGCCAAACGATGCTGGAGATGAGTGTCTGTATCATTTGCCTGCAGCAGAGATCACAGGTTCAGCCAAGTCCAATCCTCCTAGCTGTGCCTCAGGAGTGTGAGCTTCTCACTGATGTCTGGATGCCTCTTGGTTCATTTTCTGGTTCCTACCACAGACTTCTAGTCAAATCTGCACAAATCCTGTCTAGCAGCTGTCTATCTGCAGAGAAAATTGAGGCCATCTGCTCCAAACACCTCTGCTTCTTGCCCTGCACCTTCTAGTCTTTCTATTTGTTTATCCTTACTCCATTCTTGGGTAAAGGAATCAGCCTGCCTCTGCATCTTTCTTCAGTAGCACAGCCCACAGTTCCTTTCCAGTTGCTTCCTGAAAACCACTGGCTTAGTTGGGGTTACTATTGCTGTGATGAAACACCAGACCAAAAGCAGCCTGGGGAGGAGAAGGGTATTCCTGAGAACCACTGTTGTCTTAGTTTGGGCTTTATTGCTGTGAAGAGAAATCATGACCAAGGCAACTCTTATAAAGGAAAACATCATTTGTGGCTGGCTTATAGGTTCAGAGGTTCAGTCTGTTATCATCAAGGTAGGAAGCATGGCAGCATCCAGGCATGGTGCTGGAGAAGGAGCTGAGAGTTCTACATCTTGATCCAAAGGCAGTCAGAAGATTCTTTCCTAGACAGCTAGGAGGAGAGTCTCAAAGCCCACCTCCACAGTGATACACATCGACAAGGCCTCACCTCCTCCTAATAGTGCCATTCCCTGGGCCAAGCATATTCAAACCACCACATTCCACTCCCTGGCCCCCATAGGCTTGTTCAAGTGCATGAGTCTGTGGGGACCAGACCTAAACATAGCATAATGCAGAATACATTTAGTCCAACTTCAAAAGTCCCCATGGTCTATCACAGTTTCAACAATGTTAGAAGTCCAAGTTCAAGGTCTCTTCTGAGATTCTTCCAGTCACTTAACTGTTATTTATCTGTTGTATCACAGAGTTAGTCCACCTATTTGAGGGCCAGAGACCAGCAGAAAAAAGCAAAAAGAACCCAAATAATGGTCCCAAGATGGGAGGAAATAGGGTTGACAACCTTGGAGAGGTTGAAAACCAATTCTTGTACCAGTATTCATCTGTCTCTTTCTCTCTCTGATTTTTCTTAGGGCCTTCACTGACCTATTTCATGCTCTCTTTAACCCTCCTTGTCTTGTCTATGTAAAGGCAACCTTCTTCTTTAAGGGCTGTACACAGTCAAGAGCTGTACACAGCCTTGTCTATTGTAATAGAGTAAATCAAGTCCAATAAGGATCTTTGCTATTTTAGGAGGTCTCTTCAGACGGCGAAACGAGGGATTTCTTCAGATTAGTGATGTCAATCTCTAGCTGTTTGATGTTCTTGTCAGTGGCCCTTCAAAGGTCTGAGTAGTATAAGTTCGGAGGCCAGCATCTGGATTAGAACTTCTAACAGCAGACATCACGGGTGATTCATTTTTACCTGGGATGCTGCCTGAGTTAAAGCTCCTGGGAGTCCCTTTTTCTCTCGGTTTTCTGGGGTTGGGTACAGAGCTGCCGCCTATGACCTGCTCTAAGCTCGGGGCCCAGACCGGAAGTCTTACAGCCAGATCTTATGGAGGCATTTTCTCAATTAAGGCTCTTTCCTCTCTGATGACTTTTTCCCCCTCTGATGACTCTTGCTTGTGTCAATTGGACATAAACCTAGACAGTACAACCATGTTCAGAGTTTCTTTGTGTTCAGCATCTTCAGACTGGTGCTTTTCATTAGCCCTGGAGCTAGAATCCGTTCTTGACCCTTGTCCTGGTTCTGACCCATCTGATGGTATTTCAGATAGCCAAATCTCTTCTCTCTTGGCTTCCGTTTCCTCACCTGTAAAATGTTTGGTCTAAGAACCCTCGGTCTTCGTGGTCAGTGACTCGTGTGCAGGTCTCTGGCAGCTAGGAAGCCATTATTTTTGTCTTTAGAACCAAGGGCTTGTTGGCCTGCCATCGGGTCCTGGTCCTCAGGGGACCCCTCGATAACCTTTTAGCTTTCTGGAAAGCATCGGATGTGACTGCTATGAAAGACTTCGCCACGAAGCCCTGCTGACTTGGCTGGCAGGCATTCCCATTATTATGCCCTGTCATCATGTAGCAGGAGAGATGTTCACAGCAGGTCCCAGGTGTGACATCTATAGGTGTCTTGGCTCTGCTGGTCCTGAAGATGTTTCAGCATCTTACTGTACAGACATGAGAGACTTCCTGTAAGGCAAGTGTGGGATCCCCATCTGCTTTAAAGTCCAAGGATGTAAGAGATGTTGTTCTCCAGGGCCTTTTCTTTTACCCCTATCTTTGCCTTTTCTGTCTTAGACTGGTCCTGATGGTGCCAGCCACCAGCCTCACCATTCTGTTGGGCCCATGCCCCCACTGACATGTCTCACTCCACTTAAATTTCTGGATGTCCCTCAACAACATCTCCACATACCCACTCATAGTTCTTCAAATATGTCCTGAGCTCTCTGAGTATTTTTCTTCTATGTAAACCTTGGAACTTATTTGCCTTTGCTGAAGCCTTATTATACGTCCTTGGGTTTTGTATCTGTAGATATAAACAGATAGTGCTAGGGACATAGCCCAGCAGTTAAGCACACTTCCTGCTCTTTCAGAGGACCAGGGTTTGGTCCTGGCACCCATGTGGAGGTGTGGTTCACCACTACCTATAACTTCAGTTCTGATCTGCGGTACACCATGGACACCTCATGTGGTGCTCATAATTCATTCAGGCACTCACCATACACATAAAAGAAATGCATCTTAAAAAGTTAAATAGATTTTTCTGACTACGTCCTAAGACTTACAACTGCCTCTTCTTTACTTGGGAGCAAGGCACATACCCACTAGTGACCATCATAGGAAAGGCA